CCTCCTCCCACCCCTGGCTGTGATGTGCTGTGTTATCCCTGTATTTGGGAACCTGCTCATCTGATGAGCTGAGATAATACATAGAATAGGCAATAGGAGTCTTTCTGCTTCTTCATATGAACTTTACTCGACTGCTATAGTCAGCTTCAGGGGCCCCATCATCTAAGGCAAGACAGGTGACAACCTGAGATTGCTGTTTTGACTGTTGTATACATCTTAAAGCTGATCTTAGTGTTTTTGACTGCCACCTTCGGGGCCCTAAGTCTGGTGTGAATGGGGGAGTATTGGACTACTCTTTAAATGATAGGACCTGGAATTCTAAAGAAAGGATTCTGTTTCTTTTTTTTAAAACTGCCATGGCAGTGTATGTATTCTGTTTGATTTTGCCAAGAGAGATTCATTTTGTAATATTGAAGCACAATTTAGGTACCATTGCATGATCCAAATGAATTATAAATATTTGATCTGATCAGCTTGTTTCTGGGGAAGAGCAAGAACAATAAAATGACTATATTGATACAGAGTCCACAGTTTTTTCTTTGTGATCTTCTTTATAGAAAAGCTGAACAAATGTTTGGAGAGATGGAGGTCTGGAATGCAATATCTGAACGTGATCGTCTTGAAATCTATGAAGATGTCCTGTTTTTTCTGTCAAAAAAAGAGAAAGTAATTCTGTTTTTTTTACAGTGTTAAATTCCTTCTATCTGCTTTTATTCTTCCTAAAGATATTTAATCTGTATTACTTTATAATCTAGGTGTTTCCTCATTATAGTTGCAAAAAGGTGCCTAATTTTTTTGAAATTGTGAATACAGCTATCGGTCCTTTGTTTTGACTGTGAAAGCTCATGGTTAGTTTTTGACAACAATCTGTTTCATCTTTAATACAGCATTTCTTAAATGTATGCTTCATACATTTCAGACATGTTTTCACCAACTGCTTTAAATTAACTAGCTAAATTTAGTATGAATCTTAATTCTTATGTGTATCTGAATCTCCTTGGATAGGAGAATTTGGCCAGTTACACTTTGATAACAGCATACAAATTGTAAAATAGTTAAGATAAATCTAGAACAAACAAACAAGAAACCCTTGACAAGGTGGTATAAAAGTTAAACCTTTCTAGGAGAAGACTTTGGATGCAGACTGAATTCTGCAGCACTCTGGCAATGCAACATTTTTTGCATGTCACCTTTCTCATGAAAGAAGCATTGTCATAGTGGTGAATTTCACTTAGTCGGAAGATATACAGATTGTTGAACTTGTTTCAAACTCTTAACAGTAAGATAATACTTGCTACCAGATATTTCAGAGAAATGAATGCCATTAAACTTTATCTGACATTTTAAGGAGCAAGCCAAGCAGTTAAGGAAGAGGAACTGGGAAGCATTAAAAAACATCCTGGACAACATGGCTAATGTTACTTACTGTACCACGTGGTCGGAGGCCCAACAGTATCTGATGGACAATCCCACGTTTGCAGAGGATGAGGAACTTCAGAGTAAGGATAAAATATTCAAGATACATTCCTGTAAAATTTTGGAAATTGAGGCTTATTGCTGATTAGGGGACAGCAGCAACTAAAATACTGAGGCTAACTTTGTAGTCTGTTGACTGTGGAGTTACTATTGCAGCTGTTAACCACGGGCATTATGTTTTTATCATGAAACTACTGCCTCCTTAAAATGTGCTGGATAGTCAGACTGGAAAAATGCCTCCATTCTGTCACTGCAATTTCTAAGAGTGGCCAAGAGCACCTTCTTAACTTAAGCCATCAGTGAGCCAATCTATATATCAAGCTAGGAAGATAGTTTCAGTGGCTCTCACACCATTTTACAGCTCTCTCAACTCAGATTTGTAAAGAGATACATATGATTATTATTCAGAATCAATTATTGTTCAGAATCTCTGTGTCCTCATGCTTGCTGTCTGGGTGTAAAATCTGTACTGGACTCTTCTGTTCTAATATTTGCTCAAAAAAGTATGCAGGAAAAACCACAAATTTTGGGAAGAACTGAAATACAGGGATGGGCATGAGTCTCCTCACGACCCTAAATTCGTCACAAAAATTGCCCAGATCATGGTTCATGAACCAAAGTTCGTGCCCATTCCTATGAATGACCCTGCCACTACCCTCCATGTAGTTATCGGGAGGTTTGTGTAGTTCATAGTCAGAAGGGAGGGGGGAACGAGAGGGATTGCTGAAATGGTTTGCATGGATTTCAGCCTAACAGCGGGGCTGGTGCACCCATCGGCTGTAAGGCTGAAATAGATGCAAGCCATTTCAGTGATCCCTCTTACTCTCCCCGCTTCCAAGTGGTGGGGGGAGCAAAACAGAAGAGTTTAATGGCTTGCAGCTATTTAAACCTAATAGCTGGGAGGGTCCTGGGAGGCTGATAACCATTTCACTGTTCTCAGGCGATCCCCCCCCCCTTCTCTCAGCTGCAGCTCCTTTGTGGGCTCTGTTGGGCAGTCCGGTTTGAACGAGCAGAGCCCCCACCAAAGCTGCAGGGAGACTTCTGAGGTCTTCCCTCCTTTCTGCTGGCAGCGGCTTCCTGAGGCCAGCAGAATGAAAGGAGGAGGGGAAATCTTCCTCCTCTCTGTTGGGGGCGACTCCCCAAGGCCAGCAGAAAGGAGGAGGGAGATCTGAAATCTTCCCTCCCTTCTTTCTCCTGGGGGCGGCTCCCTAGGGCCAGCAGAATGGAAGTGGGGGAGATCTGAGATCTTACCTCCCTCCTTTTTGCTGGCAGCAGCTCTCCGAGGCCAGCAGAATGGAAGGGAAGGATCTGCAAGAAAGGATCAGCTGAGGCGGTGTGTTCACCCAGTCACAAACCTCACAAAACAAACTGGTTCGGTAAATGTGAAGGTTCATGAAGGTTTGTGCAGCCCCACGAACCAAAACGAACCTCTGTTTTCCTGGTTTATGCCCATCCCTATTGAAATATATCAAATACGTTCCTATAGGACCAAAAAGGATGAGTCAGCTGTTTTCTTAATGTGTTCAGCAATGTATATTCCTTTTCCTCATGATAATTTGAAATATATATAGTCTCCTGAATGAATGTTTCTCTTAACAGTATTCTTCTGAAGAAGCACTTCAATCGCAAAATATGTCAGGATTTTCCAAAGGATACTTGTGTCCATATTTTGGGTTCCTTTCTTTTTCTCTTTTGAAGCAGTAGTTTTCTTTAAAGTAGACTGGACTGGATGCAAACTTTGTCTATGAAACTTCCATGAAACCTAGTTTTCCCCCCAAGCTTTCAAAACCTTGTTAGAACAGTATTTTAATTAGATTTTAATTAGATTTTTTTTAAAAAAAAAAACTGCTTTTTCTAGATATGGATAAAGAGGATGCATTGATTTGCTTCGAGGAGCACATAAGAGCTTTGGAAAAAGAGGAAGAGGAAGAAAAACAAAAGGGCTTACTCAGGGAAAGGCGGCGGCAACGTAAAAACAGAGAATCTTTCCAGGTTGGTGACAAAACTTTAACATCAGAAATAATTGAAAAGCTTTCAGCGATATAAGGAATTAGCTAGGTTGTAAAACATCGTGGTATCCTTCAGTGTGCAAATAATGAGTGCAGATAGTAATTTCAATCGTAAAAGATTCTATGAAGCCACCTTAGTAGTATTTATATGCTCGTGCAAAACATAGCTATGTTTACTTGAATATGATTTATTTTCCACTGATCCTCTTCTGGAACATATTCACTGGGCAAAGAATGAAGGAGAACGTTTTTATTCCTAATTTTTGTATACCTATAAACTGTACCCAAGAAGCCTGCTTTGTGACAAAAATTGTGACCTGTTATTTAATTATCAGTTGGTTTCCTAAAATAGAAGCGGAGCACTTTACTGTTCTAGATTCAAGGCTCTTAGTATACCAAATCACATATACAGAATACCTGTTTGTTTTTTTTCAATGGTGTTCTGTTTTGTCTTGTGGAAATAGATGCTGTAGTGAGTAAGCTATCAGAATAGCAGCTGCTTCTCCTTTGAAGGTGGCTACTGTGAAGCTGTAGAGAGGATAGATCCAGTACACTCCCATTTCAATTGTAGTTTGTTGAATACAAGATCATTAAATTTTCCATTTTCAACTCTTCTCTCCACCCCACCCAGATATTTTTGGATGAGCTTCATGAACACGGCCAGTTGCATTCAATGTCATCATGGATGGAGTTGTATCCCACTATAAGTTCTGATATCAGGTTTACGAATATGCTTGGTCAGCCTGGTAAATACATTTTTTGCTTTCTAATCTGTTGAAAGTAACACACAGTGGGTGTATATTTTGGGTAAATGGTGGTTGGGAGCTGCTAGCGTAGTGTTATGTGCTTTTCTTTGGTTAGACTAATACAAGTTTTTTAATTAGGTTCAACAGCACTTGACCTCTTCAAGTTTTATGTTGAAGATTTGAAAGCACGCTACCATGATGAGAAGAAGATAATAAAAGACATCTTAAAGGTGAGGAAATAGTCCTTATTTAAATGCAGGGGGGAGTATTTTTCATGTGAAAAGGACTGAATGCATTGTGGGCCAGCAACTGGGATTTCATGCTGTGGTGTTGCAAAAACTGAATTAGTACTACCAAGAGATTCCTGTGTCTCTTAGTTTCATGGACATTGCTGTTTTGCAGGATAAAGGATTTGTAGTTGAAGTGAATACCACTTTTGAAGACTTTGTCACAGTCATCAGTTCAACTAAAAGAGCTACCACATTAGATGCTGGAAATATCAAGCTGGCTTTCAATAGTGTAAGTTTAAAATTTTCTTCAGTTAATATAAGATCACTGGGCTGAAACCTAAAAACCCTTGTTGAAGACGCTAAGTGAATACTAATATGTGTTCTGCAAACATGTCCACAAGAGGTCGTGCAGCGCTCTAGCAGCAGTTCCCATGCTTGTGCAAGAAGTTATTCAAAATATTTGAGTTCATCTTTACTTTTTCTCATGCAACAGTCTAGCTTTAAAACATTTCATGAGGGAAAGGTTCCACAGGGGGAAGGCCACCTTCAAAACTGACCCATTTATAGCAAGCTTGCAGTGTGCTTATTCTAACCAAGTGTGGACATTTTGCAAGTTTGCATCATTCATAGTATTACTTCGTGAGACTCAAGAGTAGAAATTGGTAATGGAAAATATTTTGAATCTATTAGGAAAATCCAGACCAGAAATAATCCTATAGTGTAACTTTTGGGACTTTGGGTTTACAGAATAGTGAGCGAGTTTTCAAATTCCTCAGAACTCTTCTGGTTACATGATCCAAAAAAGGATAAAACTTACTGAACGTTTTGCCTGGCGGGGAAATTTGGGGAACTTGAGATCTTGACCATTATGCTGTGTGACCTTTAGGATAAACAGTAAGCACATGATGATCAGAATGGTCTTTTGCAAAAATGAAATTTTGGGTGTGTTCTTTGTTTGTGCATTATGTCTTTAATTGAATGGTCATGAATGATCATTTGGATTTCTGTTAATGTAGTTGTTGGAAAAGGCAGAAGCTCGTGAGCGTGAGAGAGAGAAAGAAGAAGCTCGCAAAATGAAACGGAAAGAGTCTGCTTTTAAGAGCATGCTAAAACAAGCCACTCCCCCCATAGAAATGGATGCAGTGTGGGAAGATGTAAGTGTATTATGCAGCATTTCTAGGAAAACTTTTTTTTGTTCAAGAAGCTATGTTCATCCTTTCCAAAATGAAGTGCCAATTTTTTAATTACTAATTTTTCTGATCAGAAAGTTGGGGGGGGATTATTTCTCAAATACACAAACTGTCTAAATGTGTAGGAGAATAATAGCATAAATGTGCCTCAGTCCAAACAGAATCCCACCTTCTTTGTTCAGGATAATTCTATGCCACCTCTTCACAGTCCTCCTTGAGGTGGCTTGCAGTTAAAACCACATCACAATATTTAAAACAAGTCATTAAAAACAAATAATTGGCATAAACAGCATAAAAACCAAAACAGGAGAAGACAATTAAAAAGCTGGTAAGATAAACTCCCTAATTAAACACTTGGGTAAAAAGATGTGTTTTGTATGGACATGGTAATTTCTTTTGTTTTTTATTAATATATATATATATTTAAAAGATGTGTTTTGGCCTGTTGCCTGAACGAAAGTAAAGAAGGCTCCATGGGAGCCTCAAGAGGGGGAGCATTCCAGAGGTGAGGTGCCACCACAGAAAATGTCCTGTCCCTACTCACGACCTGCCTCACCTCTGAATGTGGATACTTAGAGGGAATGGCTTGAGAGGCAGATCTTAAATGGCAGACTGGATAGTATGGGAGGAGGTGGTCCTTCAGGTACCTTGATCTCAAGCTCTTTAGGTTAAGAACCAACAGTTTGAATTGTGCCAAAAAACAGATGGCTACTAGTGAAGCTCTTTCAGCACAGGAGTGATGATCCCTATAACCAATCACTGCTAATAGCCTGGCTGCTGCATTTTGGACCAGATGAAGTTTCCACACTGTTTTCAAAGGCAGCCTCACGTAGAATGTATTACACTACGCCAGGGGTGTCATGCTAATGGCCCAGGGGCCCATGAGCAACTGGTGCAGGGGAGGGAAGGCAGGAGGCTCCTGGGTGGGGAGCGGGCATAGGTGGTGAGATGTGTGTGGTTGAAGCTGTCAAGAAATAGAAAGGAAATGGCTAGGGGGCAGGGCTAAGATTCTGAGGTAAAATAATGTGGGGAGAATGGAGGTGGAGAAAGAGAAGGTGTGGTATTTTTTTCCCCTCCCGCTTCCTCCGACCACAGCTTAACAAAGACTGGAGAACCCACTACATAGGGGCAGAGCCAAGCGGCTGGCGCTGCTACCGATGCGCCAAATGGTGACTGTGAGGGTGTTGGCAAGAGCGGGCACAAGGAGCAGCAGTTTGCCAACGAAGGGACGGGGCTGGCAGGGGAGAAAGGAGGAGAAGGAAGGGCTGATGCGTGGCTTGGGAAGCAACTGGGCTGCCTTGTGCGTGCTGTTCTGAGGGGGGAAAAGACGTCCCGAGTGGAAGAGTGAAGGGGAAAGGGGGCGCTGCCATCACCACAGTGTGCCTTAACAGCTGCAGAGCCAGGAGGCAGAGTGAGTGTCAGGGAGGGTGGGGCACAGCCACCTCCCTTCTCCCTCGACACCTGTTCTCAGCCCATGAAGAAGGAAAAGGGGTCTTGGGAGGATAAAAAACACCCCTTGGAGGTTTTAGAAGCAGCCTCTCTGTCAGGCCTTCCCCTCAGCCCCGCCACTTGTGTGGGAACTGCCAGGAGGAGGAGAGCTGGGGGTGGGGGGGATCTGCGAGAGCTAGGTTCAGACCCTCCCCTCTTCCTGAGCCAGGACCCTGTTGTCTAGGTCCCTTGGGGCCAGTCGATCAGCCTAGACCACCTCACAGCGTTGTTGTTGGGGATGGGCAGTGGAGGGTATGCCTCCTCAAGGTCCTCAGAGGTAGGACAGGGGAAGAGAGGAAACAAAGAGTGAGAGACAGATCATAGCTGTGCTCAGCCGCTGAGGCTAGGAGGATGGGGAGCAGTGCTGAAAAACTACCTTAAATACTTGCAAGGATGATAACTCATCTCCTAAAAGTGCTGCATATAGAAAAAGTGACTGATTTGTGTGGAAATTTAAAATAACTCCCCTTTTATTTATTTATTTTTTATATTTCTACCCCGCCCTCTCCCCGCAAGCGTGGCTCAGGGCGGCTTACAAGGGAGTACTAGTGCTCACACATAAAAACACAGTAAAACAGAATAAAACAGTAAAACCATTTAAATCAACAAAGAATAAAGTGCTCAATAAGGACAGGATGGTCTCCATAGTTTGCAGGGGAATATCAGGCTGCTATTAAAGGTGGCATTGCCTATAGTTGGTGCATAGTCCAACTATAGTTGGTACATAGTCCAATGGTACCAGTGCCATGTAGTATTTTGGCAGATCTTCCGTGGCCATCCTTCCGTCCCGTTATTAACCATATGATGGTGGTAGTGGTGGCCCCTACGTAAAAGCCTGGTGGAAGAGCTCCATCTTGCAGGACTGCATGAGGTCCTGCAGGGCCCTGATCTCCTCTGGGAGCTCATTCCACCAGGTAGGGGCTGCCACTGAAAAGGACTGGTATCCTTTGGGGAAAACCTAGTCTTGCATATTATTAAATGCATTTATTGGGGCTTCTGTGGGTTTCTCAGTAAATCATTTGCTTTCACTCCTAGAAATCAATTGCTGTTTGAAATTTGAGTAAAAATAATATGGTTAATTGGATTTGCCTTTGTCATTTATAAAGTTTATATCTCCGGTACCTGGCATTACATTTTAAGATAACGTAACAGAACCCATGTTGGATCAGGCCAACGGCCCATCCAATCCAACACTCTGTCACACAGTGGCCAAAATCCAGGTACCATCCAGGTCCACCAGTAGGGCCAGTCTCCAGAAGTCACCTCCCCTGCCATCGCGCCCCCCCCCCCCAAAGCACCAAGAATACCGGGCATCACTGCCCCAGAAATAGTGTTATTTTATGGCACACACAGGAGAAGAAGAAAAGTAGGATTTATACCACCTCGCCCTTTGCTTGGAGTCTCAGAGCAGCTTACAATCTCCTTCCCTTCCTCTCTCCACAACAGACACCCTGTGAAGTGGGTGGGGCTGAGAGATTTGAGGGAACAGCTCTAAGAGAACTGTGACTGCCCCAAGGTCACCCAGCTGATTGCATGTGGAAAAGTGGGGAATCAAACCCGGCTCTCCAGATTTGAGTCTGCTACTGTTAACCACTACACCAAACTGGCTTGCCCAACAAAGTAACATTCATGTCTGATCTGGCCTTTGTAACAAATGAGTTCAACACCTCTGCTTACACCTTTGATGTGATCAGAGCATGGACCGTATTGTGCTTTTTGAGGAACGGCGGTAGCTGGCAAACCAGCCAGAGCTGATAAGAAGGCACTGCAAGCCACAAAGGAGACCAGAGCCTCCAATTGTAGGCCAGGATCCAGTGGCACCCCCAACCTGTCCCTTTAGGGGGAGTGCAGGACAGGCTGACCACAGTCCCCGAGCAGCTCCTCTCATTGACCAGCAGCACCTCAAGCTTCAGTTTACTGACCCTCATCTATCCCATTACCTTCTCTAGGCATCTGTTCAGACCCACCTGACTCCGTTCTTAAGGAGAAACAGAGCTGGGTGCTTTCTGCACCATTCATTATCCAGATCTCTGAATGATTCATAGAATCAAACACTTTGTAAAGAGAACAATAAAATAACTGAAGGTCTAGCAAGAAAAGTTGAATATGCAAATTGATTCAGTGAAACAACCATGGGGTGATGGTTTCCGATCAGAATTCTTTGAGGCTATTTCAGGAATTATCTGTCACTTACAGTGCACTAGGAAATGTACATATGAAAAGGCAGGAGTAAACAATTAGTTCATCAATATTAAGAGTAAGGATGTGAACCATTTCTTCCTGAAATGCAGATGCATACATAGATCAGATTTTTTGGTAATTTTACCACAGATTAAATCTGATCTATCACTTAATGCTGTAAAAAAAATCTCTGTGTTGTGGGAATAGCATAAGAAATGAAAATTCTTGTCCTGTATTTATATTATATATAAGATTGCAGAGGTTTTAAAAAATTCTGAAGTACATTTTTAATGGAAAAATATTTTATATGTTAGAAACCTATACCTAGTTCTCTTCTTATATGTAGATTCGAGAAAGATTTGTGAAAGAATCGGCGTTTGAAGACATCACTCTAGAATCAGAAAGAAAAAGAATATTTAAAGATTTCATTTATTTACTGGAGGTAACTGGCTATTCTAATAAGTCTTATTGTAACAGGACATCTTCTGCTGGCTTTCCCCTTACTAACAGCATGGGAATTCATTGTGCGGAAGCACTGGGTGCAGATATTGAGCCCCAGGAGAGGGCAGGAGTAGGAGTCATGCACCAGGGTATGCAGGAACACTGCTGTCTAGGCTTGTTTGTACATGCCCTCCTCTCTTCCTCCCCACACTCAGTTCAGAGGGAAGAAGTGCAAGGCAAAAGTTGTCCAGAATTGGAGAATTAGGCTGAAAGACAGCAAGTGATTTTATTCATGAAATACTGGATAAAATGTGTCACTTTGGCCCATATAACTGGGATGGCTGTCAATGTTACTGAGTGCTGAAGAATATCTGTACTGGGATATTAGTTTAACTGAGAGTGTGAACTGTAATTAATTTTTAATGGGCGACTTCACCTATTTGATTGTGTTTTTATTAAACTTTCTAACCACTGAAAGAATATTAACCTCAGTCAGAAAGGATTCATGTGAAGATTTCAGGTAAACACATTGTTGAAACCATTGTAATTCATACTCTCAAATGTCTTTCCTCATGAGGGGTGTCAAGCAGTTGAGAAATATTAGCAAATGAGACTTTGCAGAGACAAAGGCATGAAATGCAATTTACAAATACAAGAATATGTTACGCAGGATGCCTTCAGAACAGGAGGCTTTAGAAATGTACTATAGATGTAGGTAGCAGAGGCGTCAGGTCTTGTTCTGCACCAGGATACACTAAAGGAATAATTAACGTTTCCCTTTCTTATTGCTACAGCATGAATGCCAGCACCATCATTCAAAGAACAAGAAGCATTCTAAAAAATCTAAGAAGCATCACAGAAAGAGGTCTCGCTCTCGTTCGGTAGGGCCCCTAATAAAGCACCATATCAAAGCAATGTGTTACCCAGGTTGCCTTTAAATGTGATGTTAAACATTAAATACTCTGATTAAAGGGTTCAGAATCTGAGGATGACGACAGCCATTCAAAAAAGAAGAGGCAACGCTCAGAGTCACGGTCAGTTTCTGAACACTCTTCCAGTGCCGAATCTGGTAAGTTTTAAATCCCACTGAAAGAAGATTAACAGTGGTGCATTTTCTCAGTCTTAATCTATATTTAATTTTTAATGCATTAATAGAAAGAAGCTACAAGAAGTCAAAGAAACACAAAAAGAAGGGCAAAAAGAGGAGGCATAAATCAGTAAGTATTCTTTGGTTTTGGGTTTTCTGTATGAGGTAAGTTTGGCCATGTCCTTGTTTAGTTTCTTACACACAGCTCAGCTGTATCCAGAATCCTGGCAACTGGCAGCTGCTGGGTGGGCCACCGGAAACTGACCATTTCCAGACTCCTTCCTCTACCTTCTGTTCAGCCTTGCTTGATTATTCTGTTTTACTTTGTATAGGATTCCCCAGAATCAGATGTTGATCGAGAAAAAGACAAAAAAGAGAGAGAGAATGAAAAAGAAAGGAGTAGGCAAAGATCTGAATCTAAGCATAAATCACCTCCCAAAAAGCGTCCTGGTAAAGATTCTGTAAGTTTGCTTGGTTTATTTGTTCAGCCGCGGGGGGTTGTTGTCTTTTTGCATTTACAGCTTTGCAAGTCCTATGGGTGGCTCGTGCAGATGTTACTTATATCACTACTTAAAACAAAAAAGATTCTGTGCAGAGAAATGTGGTTTATAATCTCTGATTCCTGTAGCCAACTGAATAAGCCTTGTTTAGAGCAGCATGATTTAAGAGCTACTTTCAGTATTAAAGAGACAGCATTGCCCTGAAGCATAGCTTGGAAAAGCATCCACTATTTTCAGTAAGTTGTACATAGCAAGTTGTAGGTTATATACCATGCTTCTAAAAATAACCACTATGGTAGTAGTGGTGCACTCTTGCCGTTCAGATGCAAAGCTGTTTCAGGATTGAGACAGGAAGATTTGCAATTTGAGTTAGTTCCTCCTCCCCAAATAAATGTCACGTGCAGAGGCAATGTATCTCCAGAGGCCAGTGGCTGGAGGGCAACGTCAAAGGGAGCATTTGGGCGTATTGGTCCACCAGCAGTGGTTCCGGTTAGAGTGTCACACTAGGATCTGGGACCCAGGTTCAGATCCCCACTCTGCCATGGAGGCTTGCTGGGTGGGCTTGGGCCAATCACTTCCCCACAGCCTAAATCACCACACAGCTGTTGTGAGAATAAAATGGAGGGGGGGAGGGAGGAGTATAAGCTCCTTTGGGTCCCCAGGTTGTATGAATGAAGTGAAAAATGTATTTTTAGAATGTTAGTTTGTTTCCTCTTAAAGCCAGCCCGCAGCCTGGATAATTACTCCTTCTCGGGACAAGAGGAAGGTTAGGGGCAGGCTGCAACTTTTAATACTTCACTGACATTGAATTTTTTTTCCCATACGGTTGTCTTCCTGCATTTAGAGCTGGTGGCAGCAGAGAATTGAGAAGATTGTGCCATCATAGTCAGGCCTTGAAGGCAAGCCAGGTTACTGACTCAGTCAAGTTGAAGCCATTTAGATGTATTTTTAATGTTGTTAGAGGCCTTCTTACAAAGAATTTTGTAGTTGACTCCATATACCCAAGGGTCTTTCTCAAACAAAAGGCCCCTGTGTCACGTAGCAAACCTGTGGTAATCTTAAAAGATGTTTCAGTGCGGTTTATAATGATGTCTGGGATGGGAATGATGGTTCAGACACTAAAAGAAAGTGGCAGTGTTTCTGTCATTTAAAGCAAAGAAATGAGGAAGTCCAGTGGTGTACTTAAAGGCAGGTCTTTGGAGACAGTCAGTGCCATTGACTGGGTTATAAGGTTGCTAACACTTGAATGGCAAGTTGAATTTTGCAAGTTTGTTTTGTTTAGAAGTTGAAATTCCTCAGGTTTCAGACTGCTTGAGATACGAATTTGTTGTAGTTAGTAATGAATAGTAGAAGACACCTATTATGACTGATTGCGACGTGTAAGTAAACTTGTCAATTTTTCATTATCCTTTTGCAGGGTAATTGGGATACCTCTGGTAGTGAATTAAGTGAAGGTGAACTAGAAAAACAAAGGAGGACCCTCTTGGAGCAACTGGATGAAGATCAATAAGAAATATTTATACCAAATATGTTTACAATGTGATTTAATAAAAAATATAGATGACTAATTTCAGGAAATGGGTTCCAATGTTCTGAGTTCCATTGATATAACAGTGGCTTTTCAGCTCTGCTGCGTGACTAAATATCTTCAGATACTATTGTTGTGTGCCTGGCAGCAAATTGGCAAATAACAATGAACATTCAGAATTCCAAGCTGAGTTCTGTTTCTGATTAAGCTAGGCAGCCTGTATATATATCCCATGCACCTTGACATTCTTCAGAGAGCACATAAAGACGCGCAGAATAGGACAAATGGAAGATCATTTTGTTTTTCTAGCTCTTTCTGTGTAGTGACTTGGGAAAGCGCTAGAGTTTTTAAGGCCTCTCATGTTCAGAACACTTACTGGAAAGAGACAAGCTTATTTCCCTTGCCAAGTAGGTCAGGAAAGGGGTGATGGAAGAGGTGCTCAAGTCATTCTCTTTGGAACGATGGTCTAATTTTCTTGTGGTTCAACTTTCATTGGGATTTTTATCTAGGTTTCTTTTTTTGCAAATGGAAGGAAAGGCAGAAGAGAGCTGAATATTTTTCTTGATTTATGGTGGTCCATAACCCTTTGCTGAGGTTTTGTACACCCCATTGCTGGCCAAACGGATGTTTTTGATTATTTGTATTGAATTTTTGTCTTTAGGTTGAAATAATTCGAAGTTTCAGCCTGAAGCGAAATTTTTAGTGTCAAGTTTTAAAACTGTGAACGATAGATGATTGATGGAAATCCTGAAAGGCCTTTGCTTATAAAAAGGCACTAAAATGTGCTGATGTAATAATATAGCTAGCTACCGTTTTTAAGTACAACAAATGTAAAAAAAAATTGGCAGAGGGTATTATTTCAGCATTAATCTGATGATAAACAGAAAATTGCAAAATCAGACTGTAAATTTATTGCAATATGTTGCCTTAAGGACTTCCTCAGAATGTACCACCAGATTTTGAGAAGCAATTGCAATACTCTTGTCTAGAAAATCAATGTTGACGTAATACTTTTCTTTTGAGAGAAATGTTGACCTGATGTTAAAAACTTGGTCTCTTTCTGTCTGTTCTTTTCCCTTTGTACTATAAATAGCCTCTGACCAGCCTTGATTTGATAAGTTCTATCTGCCCTATACAATGAGGAGTATTGACTACTGTGGTACAGATTCTAAAACCTTTCTGATTTGAATATTTTTGTACATTTTTATCACTTATTAAACCTTGTCTTCTAGCGTGCACTAGTATTTTTTCCTGTGTTTTTAAAATGCAGATACATCCTGATCTCACGTACTCTTTGTTAATTATTTTGAAGACTGCACGTTGAGGCTGAGTTCTCTTCTGTAGCACTTCTTGCCAATACATCTTTCATTGTAAAAGGAACAATGTTGAAAATTAGCAACAGAAACTATGTAGAATACTTTTTCCCTCAGCAGTGTGATATGCTGATGTTCATTTGCAAACTAATTTTGGATATTGTGTTTTTATTAGGAGATGTTAAGATTAGTAGTTCAGTGTAAATGGAGATTATAGGTGGTTGAGGCCCCCGTAGGTCTTACTGGTTTCGGTGGGTTTTCTGTGTGCAGCAATCTGCACTGATAAGAGTGGCATCCAATGTACATTATAGCATCAGAATAGGGTCTGTTCCTTGTATTGCTGTAATTGTGCAGAAAGCAAGTCCATCCTCTACCAGCTGATCCCTTTTTAGTGACGAATTCTCTCTGGGCTTTTTCTAGCTGTATCTTACATGTTAGAGCACAGAGCCAATCTTTACATGTAGTGGTGTGTCCAGGATGTTACAGATGCAGGAGTGAGAGGCAAGGATACAGAACTTCAGTAAATTCAAAAGATACTGTTAATTTTGCAAAAATTCACTTTCTTTGGCTTTTTTGTTTAAAGAATGTGTAAATACCATTCACTAGTTAAAACGCCATATGGAAAGCAAATTGTAGTTACAGTGTTCAGACTGATAACACATGTAAGCACAATGAGCTATCTTCTGAAATATGTGGAAAATGCCAGAGCAAAAAACAGCTGGGAATTTTGAAGATATAGCTACCTATCTCCCACGTGCAGAAGTATATAATATACCTTCGCTTACTGCCTTGCATAATTTACATGAAGAAACATATTTCTAAGACAATTCCTTCCTAAAGCTTTGTCTTAGTCTTGTGTTTAATAGAAAAATAAAATATAAAATTCATGTCCTTCATATTTCTTTAGCAGTGTATTTTGTCTAGCCGTATACACTTGACATTACTTCCCATCATTTGAACAACTGTCTGATCTTTAAAATTCTGTTTTAAAGACACACTTTGCCATACATAGTCCTATCTTAAGCTGACCTTTCCTTACCAGTTCATAAAATAGCATTTTAAGACAATGTAACAGAAACAAACTAGGGTTTGGGAATTTCTCCCTCTCATGATCTGTTCTAAGATCCAATCTCTATTGTCTGAAACTGCAGACAATCTCTGCATTTGGACACATTTTTAAAACCAAGGCATTAACTTCTGGTAAGGGGAGGGGGAGCCTGTAGTTAAGGTTAATCTGTTTGTGAAAAGCTTTTTTCTGCTTTGGTTGCAGGAAGTATTATGTTTTGCCACTTACCATTGATTTACAAACATGCTTTAGAACTATTTCTAAATCTTCAAACTGGCGTACAATTGAACTACATGGTTGATAAACCCTGATAATCAGAATGATTATGGTGGTAGTGCTTACTTCCTTCATGTATCATCCACCTTTCTCGTTGAGACTCAAAGGCAAATTACTGAATTCTAAAAACAATAAAGACCATAATACAACAAACAATGCAATAAAACTGGATTACTCCACTGGAGAAGAATGGAATAAAAACAGTGTAATATATCCAGTAAACACTGCTTTAAGGATACAGCATAAACAGGGATTTTTGGACCATTTTGTGGTTCAGCACAATGGTAGGGTACTGGAAGAATCATACACGCCACACTCAAATGTTAGCAAATGGCCTTGCTTTTATGCAGATGTAGAATCCCATATTAGGTTGCCTGAACAAATGAGTAAGCTCTGGCTCAATACATAGTATTGTAAATAGTTTATTCAATCATATGCCATGAACAGATCAGAAAAGTAACATGAACTGCTTTTATAAAACACCTATAATATTGCTAAGAAGCGGGTCTATTACTAGATAAAATATTGAAGAGAACATGCCAAAATTACAGCCCACTTGCTCACATCCTTTTCAGTATGTATTGAATGTTTGTGCAGTTGTTTCTCATTAAATTATATTGCCCCAATTATATCTCAATCAAAGCAGTCATCTTCCAGCAGAAGAAAAAGGTGCCATCTTGGCATGTTCTCTTTGGTATGTCAAGTGTACATTTCTGTAAATCAAGAGAGCAGTTGGCAGTTGTTTAAAATAAATTTTCTGTAAATAGGTAAGCAAAGGTCAGCATAGTAATTTTTGAGCCCCAAACTGTCCATTTAGTTAAATACAAAAAAACAAAACTATAAGTTAAAATAACATTCCGATTGTATAGCACAGGCTGATGATGCATTTTTAAACAATATTTACATTATTACCCAGAGGCTACATTGGGAATTAAAGAGAAGTGTAAAAACCATAAAAAAGCACCAATTCTGTAGCAAAATATCTGTACATTTAAAAACAGATTATCATATAACTACACATTATCAAAGTGGTTCACATAAGCACAACATAAAAAGAAAATAAACTCAGTGGTTAAATACTATACAATAATTTTGTACAATTAACATAGGGATGGCAGTGCTACCAGGAAAAAAATAAGCTGTAAGATACCATGAGTCCAGTTTCTGACTTCAGAATAAATCAAGTGCCCTACTGTCATAGCAACATGTTGATCTGCAGCTGCTACTATTCATGGCTAAAAAATTTTTAAGTGTTCTAATAATTTCAAAAGATATAAGCCCAAATCCAGAGAAGGAGATCTATACACATAAGTGGTATGCACCCAGAGTTGGATGGGAATGTGAAGACCTTTGAAAAACGACTAAATTGCACTTATCTGTGCATACAGTTTATGCTCTCAGTTCAAAGCCTGCTTCTGCACACACACACCTCCTTATTAAAATGAGAGAATGTATGTACTGGTGAATTCAA